CCGCCGCCCCTGCTTGTCGCTGCCACGCCCACCCGTCGTCGTCGTCCCGGTGTCGTGTCGGGTCGCGCCTGCATCGTCGCCGCCGTCTATCCTCACCTCTTCATCCTCACCTCCATCCTCACCTGGACGAGTCACCGAGCTGTCGTGTCATCGCGCCGCCGCGTTTCCCGGGTCGTCGCCGCCCCACCGGCTAGTCTCCGCGCCGTCATCGTTTCATGGCGCCGTCATCGGGCCGTCGCGTCGCTCTTCGGTGCGCCGCAGTGCACCTTCGTCGTCGCCGCGCCGGTCTTTGGTGCATCGCGGTGCACCGTCGTCGTCGTTCCAGTCGTCGTCGCCACCCTTCGGTGACTTCGGTGCCGGCTCTGGGGGAACATTTGGGGTAACGCGGCTCTGGGGCAACATGGAGGCTCTGGGGTAACACGGCTCTGGGCGTGTCTCGGCGACTCGGCCGTCGCTGCCGCTCGCCCGGCGCATCGCCCCCGGCGCCGTCGTCTCCGCTGGATCGTGTCGTCGTCTCCACTATACGTCCCCGCCGCGCGGTCGTCGCCACCACCCCGACGCCCCCCGCCCGCCACGTCGTCGTGGTCGCAGTCGTGTCGTCGCCACACCGTCGTGTCGCCGCAGTCGTTGTCGCCGGCGCTTCGTTGCACCCCGGTGCACCCCGGTGTCGTCAGCGGCCCCGATCCTGACGTCGCCCGCTCGCGCGGCTGCCCACCGGCCCGCTCGCCCGCTGTCGTCGCGGCTCTCGGCGACGCAGTGTCATCGCGGCATCGTCGTCTCCGCGCCATCGTCCCCGCCCTTACACAGTTACTGCACGCCCTCGCTGCAGCAGTCAGGCCCTCACACCACTAGATCCCTTCACAGTCCCTCCATCCCGCCAGTCTCGCTGCTGAAGTGGCTCGCATTGCCCGGCTGCCCTCGCAAGAGGCCCAGGTGCCCTGGTGCCTTCGGCCCTAGAGGCCTCGCTGCAACCGCCCTCCCTGACGGGCCTCACTGCTCCCCCTGAGTCGGATCCTCTCTTCTGACCCAAGAGGATCGGTGAGGATAGCGGTAGAGGTGAGGACAATGATGCGATGACGCGGCGACGACGAGGTGAGGATAGAGGCAGGACGAGTGCGCGACGACCAGTTTTCGTGCTGAGGGCGGGGCAGTGAGGATAGTGGTGAGCATACCGGTCAGGATACCGGTGAGGATAAAGGCGGGGAGGGATGAAACGACTGCCCGACAGTGGTGGTGACGACCGGGTAGCGGTGAGGATGGCGGTGGGGACAAAGGCCGGGACGGATGACACAACAGCGCGAAGGACCAGCAGCGATGTGGACACTTTTTTGGATACCTCGACGACGCGAACACGCGTGCAGGACGACGCCACGCAGGCGATGGTGAGGATGGGGGCGAGGACACTGGTGGGGATAGAGGTGGGGACGGATGACACGACAGCGCGCGTGCAGATGCAGCTCAAGTGCCCTCACAGTCCCTGCCGCCGTCCAGGCCCTCACAGTCGGTCAGGCGCCGTCACACCGTCCCAGGTGCCCTCACAGCCTGGGCAGCCCCAGCCTCGCTGCAGCCTCCAGGCCCTCACAGTCGCTGCAGCCCCCCGGGTCGAGGCGGCGAGGGACCAGCACTGGTGGTGTGAGGGCGGGGGGTGAGGGTGTCGGTGAGGATAGCCGACCAGCACTGGTGGTGTGAGGATATCGGTGAGGATAGCGGTGAGGATTTAGGCGGGGAGGGATGACAACGAGCGCACGACGACTGGCACTGGTGGTGAGGGCCGGGCGGTGAGGATAGCGGTGAGGATACCGGTGAGGATATAGCGGTGAGGATAGAGGCGGGGAGGGATGACAACGAGCGCACGACGACCGGCACGACGCGGCAGCGACGACGACGATGTGGCGACAACCTGGCGTGGATACCCGGCGTGGACACTTTTTGTGGATACCGATAGGGGCGCGACGACACGGACGCGGCGACGGCGCTGCAGCCTCCACGTGCCAAGTCGTTGCAGGTCCAGGTGCCCTCACAGTCGCTGCAGCCCCAGGTGCCCCTCACGCTGCAGCCCCAGGTGCCCCTCATTGCCGCAGCCTCCTCTTCACTCCTGACCCAAGAGGATGAGGATAGCGGTAGAGGCGACGAGGCGACGACGAGGCGACGACGCTGCGGCGACAACTATGCGGCGACGCGACGACGAGGTGACGACGAACACGCGGCGACAACGATCGGCCCGAATGGTGCCACCGAAATGTCGCCACCGAAATGTCCCCACCGAGCCGCGCCGAGGTGGTCGTGCACGACGCGGCGACCACAGAAGCTGCAGCCCCCGCCGCCTCGCTGCGTTCCAGGCCAGGTAGCCCTCCACCCTGCTGCAGCGCCCCAAACCCTCACAGTCGCTGCAGCCCCCACCCTCACTTCTGACCCAAGAGGATGGGTGAGGATAGTGGTAGAGGGACGACGACGCGACGACGACGACTCGACGACGACGACGCGGAGCGGGCAAGTCGCTGCAGCCCCCACGTGCCCCTCACAGCAGCCGCAGGTGCCCCCGCACAGTCGCTGCAGCCCCAGGTGCCCTCACAGCCGCAGTCGCTGAGGCCCAGCTGCAGCCCCAGCCTCGCCCCCAAACATTCACATCCCAGGTTGCCCTCACAGCCTCGCTGCAGTGCCCTCACAGTCTGTGCGTCGAGGTGGCCCCCTCGCTGCAGCCGCCCTTCCTCACGGGCCTCACTGCTCACTCCTGATCCAAGAGGATGGGTGAGGATAGCGGTAGAAACGACGAGGCGACGACGACTCGACGACGAGGACGCGACGACGAGCGGCGGCGAGCGACGACGACGACGAGCGACGACGAACCAGGGCTGGTTCACCGAGTTCACCGGCACGAGGCGACGACACGACGACGACCAGCACTCGTGCTGAGGGCTGAGGATAGCGGTGAGGATAGAGACGGGGATGGATGACGACGAGTGTGCTCCAACTCGCGCGGGGTTGACAATCGGGTTGACAATCGGATTGACAATTCTGGGTTGACACTTCTTGGGACGGTAACTTGCAGAGCCCGACGACGCGACGACGAACACGCGTGCACGACGACGACGCGACGTCTTCGCAGCGGACCGGGGAGCGGGCGACGCGACGACGACGCGATGACGACGACGCGGCGACGAAGGCAAACCGGCGCAGGTGAACCCGCGGGTTCACCGGTTCACCGGGCCCGCCTGGGAGAGGACGCGGCGACGACGACGCGACCACGACGACGACGACGCGACAACGACGACGCGACGACGACGACGACGACGCGACCGCTGGGTTGACAATCGAGTTGACAATCGGGTTGACAATTTGGAAACGGCAACTCGCAAAGCCGGGAGACGTGACCACTGCGTGACGACGAGGCGACGACGAACACGCGCCCTCCAACTTGCGCGGCGCCACGACGACACCACGCATGCGTGTTCGCAGCCGGACCGGGGGAGTGAGAGCACCTCGTGAGGTGCTTAGTGAGGGCATCCAACTTACGGAGGCTGAGGGGGTCGTCGTCGGAGCTCTAAGACAGTTCTAAGACCAAGGCACAACAGCCAGCCACACGGGCATCCACGCACATCCTCACCCGTATCCTCATCTCCTCGCCGCCGCGTCGTCATCCGTCCTCGCTTCTGTCCTCACACCGGTATCCTCACCGCTATCCTCGCCGTCGCCGCCATCGTCGTCGTCGCGTCGTCGTCGCACCGTCGCCGTGCTCGCCCCGCTGCCCCGCGCGCTCCGCCTGCTCGCTCCTTCTCGTGCGCCACGCATGCCGTGAATGCCAAGATGCTGGCGGGCTGCCTGGAATCGCGGCCGAAAGGCCCCTCCCCCTTGATGGCGTTTGCGGCAGCCCCGTAGCCCGCCGCACCGTCGTCTAGGACGCTCCACTGCCCTCGACCAACACCTCGGCATGCATGGCGTCTGCGGCAGCCCCCGCCGTGTCGTCGTCGAAGCGTTGTCCCCGCATCGCCGTCGTCGCGTCGCCTCATCCGAGCCGAGCGCGAGCGTCCGAGTCCATCCTCGCCGCGTTGCCGTCGTCGTCGCCGCCAGTCTGCCACCGTCGTCGGTCCCAGCATCGTCGTCACCGTCGCCGTCGTTCGAGCGCCGCGCGACGCCCCGCCGCGTCGTCGCCGCATCGTCGCATCCTCGCCGTCGTCACCGTCGTCTATATCCTTATTTTGGCTGCATCGTGCTGGTTTCTCACCCACCCGGCCTCCCGTTGTTGGTCTGCCCTCGCTCTGCCCTCCGCGCCCCCATTTCGCCGCTGCTATCACCGCGGCCTGTTCCCGGCCTATTCGCTCGCCGTCGTCATCGTCGCGTCGTCATCGTCGCCATCTGAGACACTTGCGACATCCGAGTCGATCGTTGTCGTTGCCCCTCTTTCCAGCCCGTCAGCCCATCGTCGTCGTCGGTCGTCGTCGCCACCGCCGGCGTGGCCAATCGCCACGGAGCCTGTCGTAAACCGCTGCCGCAGCTTTTGCCGCAACAGCCTGATGCAAGCCCTTAGCAGCAGCAGCCCTGCAGCAGGCAGCCCCAGCAGCAGCAGCCGGCAGCACCACCCAAGCAGCAACAGCGCCAAGCCCAGCAGCAACAGCAGTGGCACCAACAGCAGTGTGCCAGCAGCAGTAGCAGCGCAGCAGCCAGCAATCAGCAAAGCGGTGCCCACGACTGGCGCTTATCCTGCAATCCAGCACCCGTGCGAATCTGGAGGCTCGAGACGTCCAGATAGAGGACGGCGCTCGTTGTGACCGCCCCCGAAATCCTCGATGTCTTAAAGTCGAATCGCATGGCAAGGACCTCCAAAAACAAACATGGCATAGCAGGCCAAACAACTCATGAGGTGCGTCTAACAACCTACAACTGCTGGACCAATGGATGCTTGGGGCGAAAGGCGCCATGAAACGACCTACAGCATTCACAGCAGGAAAGCAATCCGCAAACAAAGGACCCTTGCTCAAACACTGCCCTGTTCCCGAAACTTTTCAACGGCCACGCATGCGTTTGTCAAAGGCCTCGCAGCTAACATGCAGCAGCTCCCAGACATCAGAAACTTTGGGCTTCCACTCGCAGGATTTCCCTCCCTTGTAAAAGTCCCACAAGGCCAACGGCGGCTTGCTTGGCATTGGCAGAGGCGGCGGCAACTGCAGCAACTTCGGCAGGGTTTTGAGCGGGCCATGCTTGTGCTCCAAGGCAATGCTGATCTGGATGGCCAATGCCTCGGTCTTGTCGGCAGACTTGAACCTGAGAATGCTGTCGAGCACAGGATAGTGCGGGCTGGCAGGCGTGAAATAGCCCAGAATGAAATTGCCGACCTCCATCTCCTCGTGCTCTTCGATGCTCTTCGGCCTCGACTCAAACTCGCCGCAGCTGGAGCACTACCGTGTTTCTGTGTGGTAGCCTCCTGCCAGAACAGGTGCGCCAAGAGCTCGAAGACACAGCCCGCGGCGCCTGGGTTCATGTCCGAGAGTCTCCTGTACATCTTTGCCACCTCCTCGAACTCTGCGTACTCGTTCTCCTTGATGCACTTCATGACAAAGTCGGAGCGGGGCATCGGCCGCGCTGACATGATGCCCTCTGCGAAGCTCTTATCCTCTGCGTTGGAAGCACCACTGCCGGGAAAGAACGAGAGAAGTCTGCTGCGGTTCTTCCCCTGCTGGTCTTCTAAGGTCATATCCAGGGCAAGCAACTTCTTCATCTCATCTTGGGAGAGCCCTTTCACGGCTTCTCTAATTCTGTTCTGGTCCCTCCACACAACGCCTAGGCGCCCTCAGGTGGAGGCTTCAAACCTTGTTGTTCCATCTTTGCGTGTAGCCCTGCGACGTCCCCTTCTGTCCAACGAGCTTGTGCGTGACATCCAGTATGTTTGACTGCTTGCCTGTGATCTTCTCCTGGCCGTGGCCAGACAGCAGCCCCAAGAACTTCACGTGAGCGAACTCTTTCTCGTTCCGCTCGATCAGCTGCTGGATGCCGGTGAAGATGTCGGAGGCTGCATCCGGCTTGTTCATGCTCCCGTCCACGATGCCGACCTGGCACTTCGACTCTCTCAGGACCTGCTCGAGCATGTTCTCGTTCCAGTGCACCTTGCTGTACTGCTTCTTCACCTGCAAGTTGGCGATGGCCGTCACGGTCGAGTTCCTGATGGCCAGGTGCAGCGTCTTCTTGCCGGTCTTGCCGGCCTGCTGCAGGGTGTACGCCACCAGCCACCCGCACCATGTCTTGCCGGTGCCGGGGCAGCCGACCAGCGACACCTGGCGAATGTCCTCCGACTGCCTTGTTGTGCACGTTGAGGAGATGCTTTCGCAGGAAGAGCGGTCTGTCAGCGGTCGTGTTGGGCGCCACGAAGTCCTTGAACTTCTTGACGTCGAGCAGCTCGTCGGCCTTGAACTCCCCAAGCTCGAGGAGCCCGAAATCGCCGAAATCCATCCCAATCGGTCCGGGCAATTCCTCAAGCAGCGAATGTCTACAACACCAAATCTACAAGTTATGCTACCGCGCCCTGAGTCGAGCCTTATGCACCAAAACTAGCCTGGAGACCCCTCAAGTGCAAGCTGACCTGGCCTGGGCTGGACCCGCTGCGACCTCCTTCTTGGCCGCCTCGACCTTCTTCTCGGCCGCCTCGACCTCCTTCTTGGCCGCCTCGACCACATAGTGACGTCTGACGAGATGTCATACATCCCCGAACACAGCTCCGGACAATCCCATCAGGAAAAACACGAACCAGGTAAAGAGGGTGCGACCTACCACCCCAGCACTCCCCCGATGTTCTTGCGGGCGCGGCGTGGGTCCTTCCTTACGAGCCCTAAAGGAAAGTAATACCAAGTTTACGGGGTAGTCTCCCCACAAGAAGACCCCCCAATATACACTCACCAATGTTCAAAAGGAGCCTTAACTACACTCACCAAAACCGTAATTTGAACCCCACTTCACATAGACGCTTCTATACTATGTGGTGCCACTGCCACTGCCTCCTCGGCGAAAAATGTCTTGACCGCGCTCGCGTGCTGCGCCGGCTCGGATGGGCCTGGCCGGAAAAACCGGAGAACGAGTTCACTTCGGCAGGGCGCTTGTGAAGCTCTTCGGCACCATGACACCATGATCCGCAAGAACACGCGCTCTGCTGCAGTCCCGTTTTCGGGCTTAGGGTGCGATCTGCAGCGCAGCATCCGAACAAAGCTTTTCTGCGCCTCATCATGCTGTTATCCAAGCGGGCAAGT